CGAGGTCTCGCTGCCCAGGCAGGTCTCGAACCCGCAGGCTCAGGCAATCCACTTACCTCAACCTCCCAAAGGCACGGGATGACAGGCTGAGCCACCGAGCCCGGCGGCATGGGCTACTTGTTAAAAGACTTGTTGAACGTGGGGGTACAGAGGAAGAGGAATAAAGGGTAATCACGAGGATTTCTTTCGGTGGTTGGGAACTGGGGGACAGAGACCATTTGGGGCAGGGGGACGAGGAGAATGGGAATCAAGATGTGTGGCTGTGGCCTCACAAGGCTTTAGCTGTCTGTCAAGCACACTGACGAATATTAATAACTAAAATAAGCTCTTGTTGTTTCGATTCTAGCCAATATGCCTCCCATGCAGTATTACCATTTTCATTTATAGACAAGACCATGAAGGGATAGATAAGTTGCCCAGATGCAAAGGTAGGGTTTGAACCCAGGTAACTAGAACACCTATGCATTTACCTCTAGGATATACTTCCATCTTGTAAATTAATTGCCCGAATTAATTTTTAAAGCTCATTGTTCTGGTTTTCCTGATAACTCATTCCCACTCACTAATGTAAAATATGTCAACTTATTTACTGCACGTATGAGAAAATGACAAGGCAAACTCTAGTAAGGAAGGCTACTTAGGAATAAAACGCCCAACTCCTGTTGAGCAATCTTCCCCCTAGAAGAAGCCATATAGTGATATCCTGCATGACTGCACTAGGTGGGTGCTTTAGCCTTCTATGAGTTTACACTTAATATAGTACATATTTCTAGAAGAAATCACAGTAAGTAATGCATGATAAAGGCAGAATATCAGACTTTCAATTACAGTGAAACAGAATGTCAGTAACACTTGAGTTGCAGTCGGTTTTGCAATTTGATCCTATGAGCTACATTAGGAAGCACGGTTCTGGTTTTGCAATTCTGTAAGGTAATGTTCAGCGCCACCCCTGCCACCCCAACAACCGCGTGACTGTAGCTCACAGGGTTCCGTGGGGGTTTTCAGAGTTTCCAGATACACTGCTCTTCAGCAGTGCAGTCGGAAAGAAAAAAATACGACGGCAGGTGGAATGCTAATGTTTTCTCCCCCTGCCCCCAAGTTCAAAGATTTAGAGGTCTGCATCATGAAAAACTCCTGCCATGTTGCCAACATTGACCTATCTTTGGGCTGCCACCAGGTGAGAGTTTAAAACGAGCAAAGGAAAGGTGATTTGCGAGATAGGGAATAAAACCCTCAAACTATTTCTTCTTCAAAACACTTTGATATTTTCCAGACCCTTAGAACACTACGAATTTGAGAATAACGTGGCATCTGAGGTCTACAAGTTCCCATATTTTTCTAAACTTTCTCATGTCATCTACCAATTTGACTTTTAAATTAAACCAGTGGGTATGTATCTTAATTCTTATGTGAGAGAGCTTATTCCTGGAAAACAGGATGAACGTGCAGATATCTAAAACTCTCACATTCTCCTGAAAAATGGTCATTCATTATGTCAGAAGTATGCAGGGGAATTATTTGCACACAGAATCATGGTCATACTTGAGTGTCAATGACACTCAGATCACCCAGTGCGACTTTCCTCACGGCTTCTGATGGCTTTCTACACCACCTGCAACAAGGGTTCTTCAGACATTCACTGAGTACTTTTCTGACAGTTGCCACAGAAACCATTTCAGGGCAATTCAGTTCATACTTTAATTTCCAAGACTGCCATGACACCAAGATCTGAGGCCCAAGTATCACAGAGGCTCACTTATGCTTCCCATCATGCTCCTTGGCGCCTTCTTTAGGGTTCTGAATGACAGACTTCCATACACCTTAATTTTGCTGATCATCTGAACATTCACTCTTCATAACTCAGGACTCTCCATGACTCATAACCCTTCCACCTCAACTTTGGATGTCATCTTCACACACCTGGTCTTTGTATTTCCCAACTCATGGCAACAGTCCTTCATAGAAATTAGACTTCTGCCACTTGTTCTCATATTAAGAATTCTACATCCCTGGTTTTCCCCCCAACTTCCTGATGACATCAGGAATTAACACAGTTTGACTCCTTCAAACTGGGGCTTTGTTCTGGAGTAGTCTGCACATTTAGAACATTGCTTGACTAAGCCTCCGTCTTGGGAAAGTTCTTCCTACCAGACTAACTCGCTGTGTCTACCAGAAGAGAATCTGTAGCCAGACCCATTCGGATCTCTCCAAAGCTCAAGGACTGTAAATGCCTCCTGGCTCAGGTGGTTGAGCACAGTGTCACACCCAGAGGTACCAGGAGGCTCACAAGGCAGAGATTCATTTTGTTTTATGGGAATAGGGCTTTGCTCATGGTACGCTTAAGCCCTTACCACTTTCATGTACATTTCACAGAGAGGACGCATGTGCTATTAATTATATAGAGACAATCAGAATTTCAAGCATTAGTAAGTTTTAAAAAGCATTTAATTTACTGGGAAACAAAAAACTTAATTTACTTATAAAGAAGTTATTCACAGCAAACAAGGTCGGGAGGGACTTACCTGAATCTATAGCTGTGATCGTTAAGACAAAGCTCTCCTTGGCTTCCCGGTCCAGGCTCCGGGTTACTCTGAGTTCCCCACTGGCAGAGAGAGTGAAGGTATCGTCTTCGTTGCCACCCAGCAGAACGTAGGACAGTTTGCTGTTTGATCCTTGGTCATCATCTCTTGCCACCACCTGTAGGACAGAGCAGCACGTATCATGGGTGTGAGTAAAAAAAAAAAATGTCCTGTGAAATAAATGGGTCCATTCAAAATAATAAAGGTAGAACCATGCTAAAAGACCTCTAAAATATATTTTTAAGTTTCCAAGCAAAACAGAAATGGTACACAAATAGAAATGGTATGTAGTTCACATGTCTACTTGTGTGAAAATATCCATACAGCAAATGCACGCCATTTTTGGAAGGCTTCACAAAAAAATCTTAAGAGCATTTTCACCTAGGTAGTAGAATGTATGGAGATGATGGAAAAATATTTGTAAAATTTTTTCAAGCACTGACATCGTTTTATTTTCTTACTATGTACAGCTATTTCTCTCATAGTGAAACAAAATTCAAAACACACACATACACACAAATATGTGCAGCATGAACATACACAAAAGAAGGTAACAAATGCAGTATTTCCACCCATGAAGGAATCCACAGGCTCTTAGGGATGACGCTTCTACACCTTTCCTTTTCGAGATTTGATACACCTGCAGCTGAGCACGAATGGCCATGCATGGGGGCAGGGCCACGAACACTGCGGAAGAGGAGGGCCTTTCAAATGGTGTCATAGTGAACACAGCACTCGCTTTATCAAAATATACTGACCTGAAGAATAGTTCTGGGCAATGTCCCTAAATTCTCAGGGACATTTACAGAATATGGAGAGAGTTCAAAGATGGGAACAAAATCATTGATATCCAGCAGAATGATGCTGACGGTGGAAGTCTCAGCTCTGGGGGTGCTGCCCCGATCTGTCGCCTGAACAGTTAAAAGGTAAGCAGGGGTCTTCTCTCTATCCAAAGGCTTCGCTACAGTGATGGTGCCCGTGACAGAGTCGATCCGGAATTCCTGATGGGCGTTACCATTCATGATGCTGTAGCGGACCTGGCCGTTGGTACCCTCGTCGCCATCTGCTGCGGAGACCTGTACTATGTCTGTGCCAGTCAGTGTGTTTTCATGAATCTCCACTTTATATAAAGCCTGTGCAAAAATGGGGGCGTGATCATTGACGTCCAGCACCATAACTACGACCTCTGTGGATGAGGACAGCGGCGGCTGGCCCTTGTCGGTAGCCACCACCGTCAGCGTGTAATTGGAAACCTCTTCTCGGTCCAGTTCTCCGGTGAGCCTCACTTCGCCATCAATGGTCCCAATACTGAACTTGCTGCCCAAAGGGTTCAGCAGGGTGTACTCAATATAGCTGTTTGGGCCACTGTCTGGGTCCGTGGCTTGAGCTTTGAAAACCACAGTATCAATCGGTGTGTTTTCCGGGATGTATGTCAACTTAGGAGAAAGGAACGCCGGTGGGTTGTCATTGACATCCAACAGAATGATGGAGACTTGAGCTGTGCTCGTGAACCTGGAGGCTGGAGGCTGTGGCAGGTCGTGCACCTGAACCACCAGGTTGTAGAAAGACTGACTTTCTCGGTCCAGAGCCTTCAGGACTTTCAGGACACCATGCCTGTCAACTGTGAACTGTCCGAGGCTATCACCTGAGGCAATGCTGTAAACCAATTGGGAGTTGATGCCTGGGATTAAAGGGAACAAACAAAAGTCTCTTAGATACTTTCTTAGATCACTTTTGGCATGTAATTCTGTATCTTTGATTTATCATGCACCAAACATGCCTCATGAATGACTTAGCTGCCGCTATGTTTTTTTAAGTAAATAATACGTAGAAACAACTTTTTTCCTGCTAACTTTTGATCTAAAAAGTTGTTTGCAATCTAGTGAACAAATGATCTAGATACTGTTTGCTATTTACTAGGGTGTTGAAATGTCAATGTACAAAAATAAAGAGGAGAAAAATATTCCAGAGAGTGGAGATGTTCCCGTACATTTCCTCGTTTCTGTCACTTCATTCCCAATGGGGCCAGCACTGACAGTGCCAAACATTTGTAACTCTGGTAACCTATGGCGGCCAACGCGGATTTTCACAGGAGGGTCATAAATGTTCTGCTGTATAGCGTTAGTTACGAATGCTGTGAGTCCACCTTTACATTTCTTGTCAGAATCAATCAAAAGCTATTAATTCTAACAAAGCCAAGTTACGGTCTTTGAGAACATAGTTATCTCTCAGATTTTATTAGACGTATCTAAAGTTTTTTAAAAGTATTCTTTAAAGGAAGTGTTAGCAGAAAAATGATACATAAAAGTCTACAAAGATGTTTATGCTATCATTGAGCTCCATCTGTTTTTCCTAGGAACCTGCCACTTTTTAATTATAAAAGTTATATCTAAATCTTGATTTCAGAAAATGCTGACATATTTATAATAAAGATGATGTGAAGAACGGGTCATCCTATCGTTTTAGTTAATGATTCAAAATTAAATAGCAAATACGCAGTGAAATGGAAAGAAGAAGTCAGATTTTCTGCCTCACAGTGGTGTTCTTCATGGACCCAGAACGCCAAGTGCATTTTTATATCTTATCCTAAAGATGTTGGGAAGATTGCAGGATATTGTAATAAGAAATATATTCTACATCTGGACAGTCTATCTTGAGTAACAATGTTCTACTGCAGGAATAGCAAATATCTACTGAGTAATATGAATTGCTTACCATAGTGTCTATATTTTTCAACTATCCAGGCTTCTAAATTCCATTTATTAGAAATAATGTCCATTCTCCACAAGTCTTCTAAAACAATTTAATCACTTTCTTGCTTTTTTTTAATGTCCTTTCTCCATGTTCTATGACTACTTCAGTGAGCTCTTACTTTTTCTTAAAATTCATCAAGTTCCTTACAAAGGCAAACTTCACCTGAGTAATGAGATTTCTTTTTTATTATGTAGAGCTTGTTCATTTAAAAAATTGCTACAGTTACTCCTTCCTGTGATTTTATAGTCTCTAACTAACGTTCTTTACCTACGAAAAATATTTATGAAGAGAGCTTTCAAGAACTGGCTTATTAATGAAAATTTCAAGGATAAACAATGAGTAAATCTTTGAAAAGGTAAGATTTGGTTTTTCCCCTCATTATGAGTTGCGGCTTTTAATCTTTACAGCTTATTTAAGACTACTCACAAGTGAACAAAACAAACAGGAATTATAAAGCTTGAGATGCTTAGGAACCTGAAGATCAGAAAAAATATGAATAAATAAAGTTCATAGGTGTCATAGGTCAATTCACCAGGAAGAGAGAAAAAGAATTTCAGGATTTGGATAGAAGAAGGTCAATAGCCTACTTCAACTTCAACCCCTTGTCTTAAAATTCCACAAGTTTCAGAGGAAAAAAAATTCCACCATCTTTACATACATAAAGTTTTTAGGGTTTTCAGTACTCTACATATGCGTGTGTATTTGTATGCACATATATAATACATATATATATAAACACATATATGCAAACATATACCATTTGCTATAACTTTTTTATACCTGTATGTGTGTATACACACATATAATGTATCATCAAATTACTTTTTAAGGAAGTTTTCTGCATTTCTTATGACGAAGTCTACCAGAAAATAACTGAACCCCTATTATTTTGCGATTCACCCTCAGACATAATTATTATTGAGAAACATAGTTATGAAAACACCTGACTAAAAACAGTATCAACAAGCAGAGATAGAAAATTTAGTTCTACAAATGTGTATAAAATTCGTCATACCCAAGATCAAAAGATATTAAAAATACTGACAAAATTTCACGTGGCTATAAAGTGATGGCCTAACATCTCCACATCCATCAACAGGCATGGGAGTCTTTAAGTCAAGGATCTAAACAACTTAGTCCATCATATATTCTGCTTCCTTGAGCAAACTGCTAGCTACAGAGGCAAAGAGAGAACCTGCTACCGAGATATTATAGCCCTGCTGTCAACGACAGAACAGTCCCGTTTTAAAAGATTAAAAACATTGGGTAGACAGATGGGAAAGGGAACTAATAAATTTTAAATTAACTAGAATTATAAAAAAGAAAAATTTGACTTTATATTTAAATTCATGACAAACATAGTACCAATATGAAAAGCGAACTCATAATAACCATTATTATCTCGGGTAAAACAAACAAAAATTTAACTCTTTTTACATAAAATATCATGACATTATCTAAGAACTAGCTCCCACTGCAAAAACTGAAACCTGACTGCTGCAACTACAGGTCATGAAAGCCATCCATGTTGATTTTACTGTAAAGAAAAGGACTTTTCGTTCCTGAAAAGTCTAGTAAATGACTTTGGACAGATGCTTTTCATCTAGGAAGTACATGTGGACATATCAAAACTCCAAATTCTCCCCAAACATTTGTAGCATGCTGAAAAATACTAAACTTGAAATTTTTTCTCTCTCTACACTTTGCACCAAATATCTGAATCATGAAATTGGAAATAAACTGTTTTAAAACTTTAAAATGTATCCATAAATGTCAAATCTTGAATTTAGTGTGGTTTTATAGCCTCCCAGATCTTTAAACTTAAAACAATCTACATTTCAAACTATTTATGTTCAAAGTTCTGAAAGTCACTTAGTTACATGATTCTTCCTAGTAGTTTTATTGTGTATGTATAGTACTATCATTCATATACATACACACACACATGTAAATCATATGTACATATATAATACATAAATTGTATGTATCACAACATTTATATATATGTGTATAATTTGAAAATAAGATTTTATATATGTATATATTGGATTTGGGTCTCATGATTCATTTAGTTCCAGGAAGCATAGCACAAATAATATATAAAAATATAAACACATTGAAAATATAAAAATAGTAAAACTATATCTTAAAACTATAGGTATAGAGTTCCATGTCACACAATGTGTATGTTCATTAACAATCTATAAACGTTGTCTTATTATTTCTATAAAGAACTCATATTTGTCAGCTTTTCACATAGCTTCAACACATGGAAGTGCATGAATAATATTCATCTTTATAAAGCAGATTCAGCAAGGTCATCAGATCACTGGAATATGAAATACGGTGGTCTGCACCATGCACCAAGATTATACAGCCATCTTTATTCAGCAAAAATTACAGTTGTGTTACTACCCAAACGTTCTTCAGTATTTGAAAGTGTTTGTAATTTCTAGAGTAACAAGATAATTATTCAGGCAGGAATATTTCCATGATGCTTCAATCTATAATTGTTTTCCATTATGAAACTTTGTGTGCATGGAAGCCTTGAGATGAACATGGATATCGTCTATCTTGAGAAACCAGTAAAAGATCTGCTTTATTGTGACAAAATGATCATGTAACCTAAATTTTAAACTCTGAAAGAATGTATGGACTGATAACAGAATGTTAAATGTATTTTTATGTAAAATGTCTTCACCTAAGAAGGTGACACAATTCCTTTATCAGGAACCCTTTAACCAGAAATTAAGATTAATTTGTTTGTGAAATACCTTGAGAACTTTCAGAGTAACTGAGTTGGCGATTTTTATAAACAAAGCTACCCTTGTACAGCCTTATCGCTGTCCTTGAAATTCAGAAGGAATAGGAACCGTGTCCTGTATTCAGGTCAAGGTACAGGAAATTACACTGATAAAAGTATTCAAAACTAAAACAATGAATAAATGTAGCTTAAAACTTTTACTCAACACAATTAAAGAAAAAAATCCATGGAAAGTAATTAGAGTCAAGGGTTAATGTTTACATGTACATGGACTATTCCAGCAGATTTTTGACAAAGAAAGCTTTTTTCCTCGCTATTTTCTCAGTTTCCTTACATTTTAAGTTATGAAGGTAAATGAAATTTATTCTAGAGAAACACACAATTGTGTGAAACAATGGGCTCTCTCTAATGAATAATAAATAAATCACCAAAAATGGTGGAAAATCCTTCACTACAGAAAAGTGGAGCACAGTCTCAGAGATAAATAACTTAAGAAGGTATGAATGGTTTTGAAACGATTCACACCCAGGGAAAAAGCAAACGAACTAAAAGTTATAATAGAGAAACCAACCTCCAAAATAAGAGGTTCACCTCAATTGTATACAGAGGCTTAACTGGACCCAAGCCGCACACCTGGGATGAGCTACAAGAAACAGAGTGTGTACCTTCCTGGGACAGGATGAGGCTCATACGAAACACTGGACAGATGCCTGTCATCGATGTCATTATTGATATCGTCATGATGAAATAGTATCATGATTAGCAACAGTAGGCGTAACAGTAGAAATAGTCACATGGTAGCCACATCTATTTTAGATATACTCATGTGTCCAATTTTAACTGTGCTTGAATAAGAGAGACAAAAACTTCAAAATGAACTGGCTCAATGAAGTCTAAAGAAAGTATTTCTAGTTGTGTTTATTGAAACATATATAAAGCACTTTTTTGCTTCTCATATAATTCCAAGTACTATTTCTGGTTATCACTGAAAGTAAACTAAGTATAGCATAGAATGTTAAAACAGAAGGGTGTTCTGAGACTACATAAATCATCCAAGTCATAAGAATCAGGAAATTCTAAGTGGAGTGAGATATGTCCATGTCACTAGGCATGTCCTTGCACTGAGAGACATTTCCTCTTTAAAGCACCATCTATTGTTTTGTATATTGATAGGAAATTTAGTCGCATCCAATGGGATAGCAAACAGTACTGATGTTTTTAAACAATTCAAATAAAAACCAGTAGTCTATACAATGTTATCTCTAATGCTATATTATAGGATATGTGTACTTATAAAATAAGTCTTAGAAGAAATGCCAGTAGAGTCCGCTTATTAAAAGAAAGGTTGCCAAAAGCTTTTGCAATAAATACAAATAAAACATATGCAGGGCATAAGTTAATGCAAAATCTTAAAATGACACTACATCGTAAGTGAAACAGATCTGAGTCGGGCCCTTTGAGTTCAAAGCATGAACGCTTGCTAAAACAGTCTTAGCAGTCTTCCAGCGAAAAAATATAAAATCTAGTTATGCCTTTGTAAGTATTTTGCTGTATGGCTTTAGTTTTCCTTTGCTTCCTTTTAAAGTTACAATCATATATGGAAACATAAATGTTTTTATTTAGCTAACAGAAACCTACCAAAAAGCTTATGATTTATGACTTCCACATTAGTAAACTACAACACTGCCACACATTTAGATGAACCAAAGAAGATACAATTGCAAAGTTTATAAAATGATAAAAGGCATGTTACGCAACTGTTATAAATAAGAACTTAACTGATAAAGTACTTATTTTTAAAATTCTCTATAGTTCAATCATAGCTGTGTTCCTAAACTGTGGACATATGTCCACAAAATGCACAGTGCAATTTTATGACATCCAAAGACAATAAATAAATGGAATATAAACCCGATGACATTTTAATGAATTCTTGAAATATACTAAGTAAAGTACATACCATCATCGGCATCAGTAACATTAAACACAAGGACAGTAGATCCTAGAGGTAGATTCTCCACTAGAGATGTGCTGTAGGAATTCAAGCTGAAAACAGGGGGATTGTCATTTACATCTAGAATATTGAAGTAAACTCTGATGGCAGTAAACTGTCCCCCGCCGTCTTCAGCTCGAACAGTGAGGATATAATATTGCTGTGACTCATAATCTAGTACTCGAGTCAAATTGAAGACTCCCGTGACTGGATTCAGGAAAAAGATTCCGTCTTCATCATCTTCACTCACAATATAGGTAATTTCTCCATTCACGCCCGAGTCATCATCTGTAGCTAAAATGGCTGCTACCAAAGAACCTAGCAAGAAGAATAAATGAGGGGTCCAAAATGAACGAAGGGTGCTACTTTGGGATAATACATGCAAAGACACTGCAATGTATTTGTTCAGTCCTAACGAGAGAACCACTGTGAAAATATACTGTACACAACATTCTGCAGATTTTTGTATTGGCACTGATATAAACATTTATACATATCAATAAAGCACGTAAGACATCACATATCCAGTGGCTTTTCGGTCTCAGTGTAAAATTTTCTGGGGAACGAATCCTCTTTCTGACATTATATTTCCACCAGGCAGTATTGATTCATAAACGTACTGGTGAATTCAATGAAAATATAGTGTAGCCCTCTGCTAGTGTCAGAACCTGGGGATTCCAAGAAATACACAGATTGATCCCCTGGGGTGGGACTCATCATTATTGCTATAATTCAGCAACGTGTTGGAAATCTTATAAAAGACATGCACTATGCATCTTCAGAAGAGAAGAGAAAATTGCAAGAAGTATTTCCCTATAAATGCTTAATCCCATTGCCCGACGGAGCTTCAAAATCATATACATTATCATGCATACTCATTCCTGATGTAATTCAGAATAAAATTTTAATTTTTAGAATAAAATATTCAATAATGGTAATAAAGCAGACACACATACACTAGAAATGCAGACTCAGCAATCACAGCATAATAGGTTCAAAGAGGCAAGAGTATAATTCAAGATTCCAATTCTAGTAACATCTACTGGGCATCTGCTAATACTCAAGTCACACATTAGCAAACTCACATATATTTTCTAAATTAACCTTTACCCTAGCTAACAGGAAGTACTGTTCGCATTTCACAGAACCCGGAATTGAAGCTAAGAGAAATGAATTGCTCTGGGTCACATGACTAACAGGTCTTAGAACCACCATTCACATAGCTTTTGTTGTTGTGATTCTTTCAATACATGGCAGCATAATCACATTAGACGTTTTTAATGTAGAAAAAGAGTATTAAAACCAGGGTTGCCAGAAAAATTAACAACCCATGTCACTAATACTTTCAGACACAGAAATACCTGTAATTAGTAATCAGATAAATGGCTAACCTCATCCATCCTCAAAAATCTAGCAATTTGCTTGGGAATTGTACCAAAGATGGTTAATTACAAGATCCCCAAATCCAGCATATATATTTTTATAACTAGCAGCATATGGTTAAAAACCAGTCATTAATCAAGAGCAGTCAAAACGTAGTCTTTAATTTTAGTCAAAGGTGATCCTTGCAAAATACACTTCAGGGGACATCACCTACCAGGGATTGTGTCTTCTGGGATGTCAAAAGAGTAGACCGGTCTGGAGAACTTGGGCGTGTGGTCATTCACGTCACTGACGGTGATGTTAATTCTCATGTCCGAGGACTGCAGGCCATCATCAGCACGAACCAGCAGGGAGTATTTGGACCGGCGCTCTCTGTCCAACCGTTTGGTTGCTATCAGATCTCCGGATTCAGGGTCAACGCGAAAACTATCATCAGCTCCACTAATGATAGCGTACGTGACGAGAGCATTTGCACCCTACAAAAGGAAGCCATGCATCTAAGCCATTGGCAGTAGGACAGGAAGAGCAATGCTTCTGATGTTTTCTTTTGGACATGGATTTGACAAAGGGAGGCTCTGGGGCCCTACGTTCATATGATATGATAAGACTTCAGAACACAATAGGCAATACACTTGACTAAGGGGGCACATTCTGTATGCTGAAAACTCCAAAGCACCGATGAAAGAAATCAACAAAGACACAAGCAAATGAAAAGACAGCCTGTATTCACACATTGGAAGATATAACATTGTCCATATATCCATAGTATCTATGCAAATTGCATGTTCAATGCGACCTATATCTAATTCCTAATGGCATTATTTAAACAGAAAAAAATAACAGTTATAAAATTCATATGGAATCACAAAGGAACCCGAATAGCCAAAACGATTTTGAGAAAGAAGAGCAAAGTTGGATACATCATGCTTCCTGATTCTAAAATGTATTACAAAGACACGGTAGTTAATAAAGTATAGCACTGGCCTAAAGACAGACATATGGACCATGGAATGGAATAGAAAACCCAGAAATAGATTCATGCATATGGTCAACTGGACTTCAATGAAGGTGCCACGAATATAAAATGGGGAAAGAATAGTCTCTTAACAGATGGTATTGGAAAAACTGTGTATCCACATGCAAAAGGATGAAATTAGACTTTTTTCTTATACTATACACAAATATCAACACAAAATGGATTAAAGACTTAAACTGAAAACCAGAGACAATAAAACTCCTAGAAGAAAATTTCTAGAAAATAGTCTTGGTAATGACTTCATGGGTATGACATCAAAAGCAGTAGTGGCATTGGCTTTGGCAATGATTTCATGAGTATGACCCCAAAAGCACAGATAACAGAAACAGACCAGTGAGACTGCATCCAGCTAAAGAAACCTCTGTACGGCAAAAGAAATAGTCCACAAAATTAAAGGTCCAACCATGTAAATGGAGAAGATATTTGCAATCTATATATCTGATAGTAACTTACAAAATATATAAAGAAGTCCTACAACTCAATAATAAAAAAAAAATTAACCCAGTGAAAACAATGGTTACGGTTTGGGATAGACATTATTTCAAAGAAAACATAAAGTGGCTACCAGGCATATGAAAACAAAATCACAGTCACTAATCATCAGCAAAATGCAAATCAAAATCACAATGAGAAATCTCCTCATGCCTGCTAGGATGTCTGTTATTAAATAAATAATTAAATAAAGCATGGACCAGGATGGGAGAAACAAAACCTCGTGCAACTGCTGGTGAGAATGCAAAAAGATGTGGCTGTTCTGGAAAGCAGTACAGAGGGTCCACATAAAAAAATCACAAAAAGATTCTCCAGATGATCCAGCGATCCCACTTCTGGGTATTGGTCCAAAAGAACTGAAGTCAGGAACCCAATGAGATGCTGGCCCTCCCTGGTTTACTGATACACTCTTCACTATAGTCAAGGTTTGGAAACAACCTAAATGTCCATCCACAGACGAAAGAATAAAGAAAATGTACATGCTTAGCCCGCCTAATCCGAAAATTCAAAATCTGAAATGCTCCAAACTCCCAAGATTTCTTGAGTGCTGACATAACACTCAAAGGAAATGCTCATCAAGACATTTCAGATTTTGGATTCTAATATGAGGGATACTGAATCAATATATGTAATGTTAGTTTTTCAAAATGCTCCCCCACCAAAATTGAAATGTGGAACACTCCCAGCCCAAAGTATTTCAGATAAGGGATACTCAGCTTGTATATACACACAAGACAATAAGATTCAGCTCAAAAAAGAAGGAAATCCTGCCAGACGTGACAACATGGATGAACCTTAGGGACGTTGTACTGAATGAAGTAAGTCTGCCACTAAAGGACAAATACTGCCTGATTCCACTTGCAAGACATATCTAAAAGTCAAATGCACAGAACAGGAAGTGACGTGGCAGTTCCCAAAGGAAGAGGACAGGGAGCAATAGGGAGTTGCTAACCAATGGGTATAAATCTTCAGTTATTCAAGATGAATGCTCTCCAGAGATCTGCTGTACAATACCGTGCCTGTAGTTAGCCATGCTGCATCATACATTCAAAAATCTGTTAAGAGGGTAGTCTCATGTAAAGACTTCTTGTCACAATTAAATAAAAATTAAAAGGTTGCAGACAAGTGTAGTATTTCATATGATCTTTCATCATTCACCCCATTAAATAACACAGCAAACTTCTGCTTTCAATATTAGCTAAAATTATATAAATTTCATATAAAATTATATGTATATATTAAATAAAATTATAATTTTATATAAATTATATAAAATCATATAAGCCTCAAACTATCAGAATCTTAGAAAATGCAGGAGACACTTTTATGGAAATTGGAACTGGCAAACAATTCTGGTTCAAAATCCTAAGTGCCCATACCATAAGAAATATGATAGACAAGTGGGAGCTCATAAAACTGACGAGCTTCTGCAAAGCAAAATAAACTGTCAAGAGAGCAGGGAGACAGCCCACAGAATGGGAAAATATATTTGCCAATCGTATATCTGACAAAGGATTAAAATCTAGGACCTACAAGGAACTCAAATGCGCCAAAAGGAAAAAAACAAACAGCCCCATTAAAAAGTGGGCAAAAGGCATAAATAGACACTTCTCAAAAGAAGATACACAGGCAGCCAACAGACACATGAAAAAGTGCTCAGCCACACTCATCAGAGAAAAGCAAATCTAAACCACAGTGAGATACCACCTAACTCCAGTACGAATGGCCACCATGAAGAAAACAAACAACACATGCTGGCGAGGATGCGGAGAAAAAGGAACGCTTCTACACTGCTGGTGGGAATGCAAACTGGTGCAAACTCTTTGGAAGACAGGGTGGTGACTTCTCAAAGAACTAGAAATTGACCTTCCATATGACCCAGCGATTCCCCTATTGGAAATATACCTGGAGGAACTCAAATCATTCTACAAAAAAGATAACTGTACACGTATGTTTGTTGCAGCTCGATTCACAATAGCAAAAACATGGAACCAACCATGTTGCCTATCAAAGCTGGACTGGATTAAAAATAATTTGGTACCTACACACAATGAAATATTATGCAGCCATAAAGAAGGACAAATATATGGACTTTGCAGCAACTTAGATGGATACTCAGTGATCTATCACAGAAACAAAAAACAGAGGAACATATGTTCTCACTCATAAGAGGACCTTGAACAATTATCATAATACTATAGGGAAGGGATAGGCAGTAGTGGGAAACTGCCAAGAGAGGGGGGTGGGATTGGCAGTTGAGGAAAACTGCCAGGGGAGGGAGGGGCATACCTCATCCACAAAGGTACCTGCATGATCAGTGTTTGTACACCTAACCCTGAATTGTACCCTACATCTTTAAAATAAAATTAAACTGAAATTGACATTCCAAATATATATATATATATTAGCTTTTTATATATATACATGTGTATGTGTGTGTATACACACACACACACACACACACACACACACACACACACACACACACATTAGCTTTTAAAAAAATTATAAAATGCACACATGGAAAGGAGGAGAACAGTGACTGGAACATGCCAAAGGTATTTTTACTGCAACTACAAAACTTAGAATGTTTACAAAAGCCTCACTGTATGCACAGCACTGTGGCAGCTCTATGTAAGCATTTCAGCTTTAGTTCACAACTCCTTGGAATGTAGTTTCAGAAAGAAGACACTAAGTCTCAAAATGCAAGTTAACTTATGCAAAGGGACACTGTGTGTTATTGTGGATTTCAAAGCAAGTCAGTCTGACTCTGAGCTTGACATTCCTTCTAATACAGCAGGGAAAGGTAATTACATAACATGACACGAAGATGCTGAACAAAGGAGGCTTGCAGTCAGCGCTGTAAGAACCAAGACGAGACGGGGGATTATTTTGAGTTGCTTTCTTTAGGGAAGATAGAATGAAGAGTACATCGACTTTTATAGAATGAATTTAGTTTTTAAGAGTAGAGACTAAGAACAAAGAGTGCAAGCAAATGATGTGTTAGTCTTACTGTCAAATCGGTTGTTAGGGTGGAGCGTTTTAAACGAGAACAAAAGAAAAAAAGTCAAGTTAAAATGTCAGGGAATGGCCAGACACATTGACTCAGACCTGTAATCCCAGCACTCTGGGAGGCTTGGGCAAGAGGACAGCTTGAGCCCAAGAGTTTGAGACCAGCCTGAGCAACACAGAGAGACCTTGTCTCTACAAAAAAAATTCAAACAATTAGCCAGGTGTGATGGTGTGCGCCTGCAGTCCCAGCTAGTCAGGAGGTTGAGGCCAGAGGATCACCTGAGCCCAGGAGGTCAAGGTTGCAGTGCCACTGCACTCCAGCCTGGGCAACAGAGTGAGACTCCTACTCAAGAAAAAAAAAAAAAGGCATGACGGTAATAAGTATATTTTGGAAAATCTTGAATGTAGCACAACTTGGCTTGAATTCTGTGGTCGAGAAGCCCAAATCTTGTTGTCAAGGGAAGCAACCTTTTGAGGCTATTGATGATGCAGTGTGGACTGGAGTGGAGACAGGCCAAGAATGAAATAACGGGTAGAGTTTCGGCTCCAGAGACTGGGGCTTCATCTCCCCAAAGGTGGCAAAACGGGTCTCCAGTCGTCGCTCTGTCAAACGAAGACAGGGTTGGTTTCTCGTATTCTCACAGGACTTTGAATCATGGCCTTAAGTCTCTGAACTAGAAAGTTTGCAGAGAGAAAAACAGAACATTTATTGAGTGCCTACTGGCCGCCAAGCACTGCTCTGAGCACATCACTTTGAGGACGCTGATTAATTGACTTCTCAAAGTCACACCCGTTAGGTAAGTATTATTCTAATCCCCATCCTGAATGAAAACAGCCTGAGATGAAGGCATGAAATCCCAGCCATCTTGCTCAGAGCACGGACTCAAATTCCCAACACACAGGACACAGTCATAACATTTGACCAATTACTGAATA